ACCACGTGACTTTTACATCGACATGATAGCCTTGTGTAAATGATATGTTACACTTGAATTCTGTGTTGGTTGGAACATATTCAGGACACGAGAAAGAGAACCCTTTTGTTGGCARAAAAGACGCTATGCTGTTCGTACATGGGATAGTTAAACCTTGTCCAGTTTCGTTATTCTTTAACGCTGCTTTTACACTCGTTGTAAAGTTCTCTACAGCAACAAAAGCATGATTGAATGGAGAAGAATGCTTCTCATTCAAGCTGCCATCGCCTACGTCGATAAAGTTCTTTTCTAGGTCGTAAAAAGGTTTGGAAATCTGCACAGTCACWGAAAATTGAGTCAAAGCTTCTTGTRTTGTGGGGTTGGCACAAACAATGCTTRTCGTGGACTTGAAAGCATCGAACACAAGCACATGAGAGTCTYGTCCACCGCATTTCATGCCAGCATTCCCASTACAAGGGACGGTACAAAGATCGCTTTGTACTGACGCGAAACTTGACGTCTCATTGGTACACKTGCATACACGCCCATCGTATATCACAGCTTTCTTGTAGTAAGCATTCCCGCAGTGTTCCCGGCAAATACTAGGGCTTAGTACCTCTGGGTCAATCTCGCCYGGATAGTASAGGAGACTGGGACTGAGCGCATTATCTTTATAGCACGAGTCAGTGTAATCAGACATTCCTGTGTGAAAAACATAATTATCTTAATAGTAAGTACAAGCCTTATTTCTTAAGTCAATTTGCAAAGCATTAATTAGTCTGTCAGTCGATCGGTCAGTTGGTCAATCGATCGCTTGGTCGATCAGTTTGTTGGTCGGTTAGTTTGTTGGTCGGTCGGTCAGTTGGTTGATCGGTTGGCTGGTCGGTCAGTTGGTTGATCGGTTGGTTGGTCGGTCAGTTGGTTGATCGGTTGGTTGGTTGGTCGATCAGTTTGTTGGTGGGTTAGTTTGTTGGTCGGTCGGTCTTTTGGTCGGTCAGTTTGTTGGTCGGTCAGTTTGTTGGTCGGTCGGTCTTTTGGTCGGTCGGTCTTTTGGTTGGTTGGTTAGTTGGTTTATCAATCGGTTGGTCGGATAGTTGGTCGGTCTATCAATCGGTCGCTTTGTCAGTCAGTCAGTCGATTGGTCGGTGAGCATGTAGTTTACTTACCTGTGCCTTTGAAAAAAGCAGCCATTGACTCGGACGTCATGGAATATTCGAATATGGCAAGACCATTTATGGAGCCTTGGAAGTATTTAGCCATCACATTATTAGGTCGTCCTAACGTTAGACGRGATGCTTCATCCGCAGAGCTGCTCAAAACCTGTCCTATTCTATTTCTATCCACGGACAAAGATGACGCAGCGTACGATACTAGCGTTAGACCAASGTGTTTGGACCATGAAAATGCTATTGACAAATGTCTTGAGGACGGAAGATACTTGTCGACGATCCAACGTTTCTCTGAGTCACGAACCTCAACTCGTAAGGTAGTTGAGTTGGGTGAATATATAGCGAAACCACGCGTGTGTTGACCACCAGACGAGATGACATACCTYTCGCCAGAACCTTGTCTGTTTACTCGCAATACCACTAAAAAAACACATTAGGTCAATGGATATTATCATCACTCATTCACTCATCATCATTCAACAGCCAGTCAAGCACGTCTAGATATTATTATTGACAAATGTTTAATATCTAATGATAATAATCATAATTATAATAATAGCCGTCATCATCATCATCACCACCACCACGACCATCATCATCATTATCATCATCACCATCATTATCATTGCCATCATAATCATCACCATCATCATCACCATCATCATCACCATCATTATCACCATCATTATCATCATCATCATCATCATTATCACCATCACCACCACCACCATCACCATCATTATCATCACCACCATCATCACCATCATTATCATCGCCATCATCATCACCATCATCATCATCAATATCATCATTATCACCATCACCACCACCACCATCATCACCATCATTATCATTATCATCACCACCATCATCACCATCATTATCATCGCCATCATCATCATCACCACCATCATCACCATTATTATCATCGCCATCATCATCATCACCATCATCATCATCATCATCATCATCATCGCCATCATCATCATCTTCATCATCATCATAGTTATTCTAAGAGTTATAGACTAGCAAATCTTGGTAGTCTCGCCCCAATTCAGTCAGGTAAAATTATTGTAAATGTTTTAATTCCATACGAGGTTATCAATAAAATAATAACAGTAATAAAAATCATGATAATTAATACTAACCTGTTATTCCTTGATAACACAACTCCATGTCACTGACACACGTGTCTTTAAAGTCGCCGAGATCTGCCCAGTTGCTTGTTCCGTCGAATTGTGTAGCCACAAAGGTGTACCCCTGCACATGTGCTTGTGCTGCTTCTGTCGTCTCGAATTGCCCGTGCATTCTGCCTCGTTTTGATCCACTTAAATCAAAAAGAGAGCCTCCGATTACTTTATCCAGCGGCCAGTAGCTTGAAGCACTCTCGTAGATGTAGTCTGAAACATCAAAGATGAAAGAACAAACTCCTTAATAAGGTTCATTAACCATTATTTAAAAAATTGATATTATTAGATTATTTACAGCATTTACGTTTGTCGCAGCATTTTCGTACCCGGTCCTTGCTTTACACTTTTTATTGCTATAGAGGCTTTGCAGCATCACGTGAAGATAGCCATGTTAAATGGCAAGAACAATACAATCGTTTTGCATGAGAAAAATTCATCAATTCCCGAGAGCAAAGGGATTTTATCGTTCTGCCATCTAACCACAGGCAGCCCAAGCTGTATTATGGGCGCCGGTATGCAAATCCTCTATCAGTAAGATAATTTACAAAATCAAGTACATTAATGAAATGCATATTGTGATGACCCATGAAGTGTTCACACCAAATGGCTCTCAAGTACGGCTCCGCGTAGCGTAGCGACGATGAATAAACCATCATATGATTATGTCATTTCCCAGAATACCTGGATTTTGCAATAGTCTCCTTCACAGTTCCCTGCGCCATCTTCAAAGGTGGCCGAGCCTTTGACTCTATCATTGCAAGCTCACCGTTCGTCTTGCTTCGATGTAAAAGCATGGCTTCCTTTCAAGTTGGCGCTGGGAACTGTGAAGGGGACTATTGAATGTATACAAACGAACCTTTTCGTCCGCACACTTTGAATACTGCATTAGACGAAGGTGATTGTAGAAACATGTACTTGACGTTCAAGGGCTGTTCATCGCGGTAATACAAGAGAACACTTTCACCCATGCCTACTATTACTCGGCCAGCCTTCCATTCTAACCACACATGAACAGATGTACTTGTACTTATCACACGTTTCCTAGCAACAGACATTGCTACTTGTATCGCCGCTGACCCGTCATGTGATCGTTTGACGTAAGTAGTATTACTTTTATTGGGATCGTCTAGTATGATTTCATAACGAGGTCCGGATGAACTTGAAGTTGTCGAGAGAATAATGACAGGCTTCTGGCTCAGAACCTGAAAGGCCGTTGATGACGTAAGCAGGCGATATGCAGTASAAGTACTGCCACTGGTGACATTGACTTGGTCACAAACAGTATCTGGTAAACAGAAAATACAGAGAATGAGTGGATGGGTAAATGGATGGATGGAGGGAGGGAGGGA